TATCTATGTATCATCTTTTTACTCTTTTAATTAATTTTATAACTGTATCGTATATCTCTTTTAATTCCTTATAAAACTGTTTTAAAGTGCCCCTATTATGCTATTTTAAAGTTTCCTAATGTTGTTTTGCAGTCTCCTACAACAGGTTTAGATGCATCAAAGGTCAAAAAACTGTTTAATTTTCTCATAATATACATTTGCACATCACCACATTTTTCAATGATTCTCAAACTACTCGTCAGATGAATCAATCTCTCTAAATTCCTCCTTTTCACCAGCTATTCTGCTCTGATTGGCCAGAATGCTCAGTCTGTTGTGATTGGTTTACCGCGTACAGTGTGTGTGTCGAAAACAAAAACGCCCATTGCCATAACAACATCAGCTGTCCTGAGGCTTCCTACACCGTAAACTAAACACAGTGACGAACAATGACATCGATTTTACCATATCAATCCGAGCACGAGTCCAATAATGAAACATTGGAAGAACTCGTTATTCAACCCGAACCTCCATCACAAGGACGACTCGAGCAGGACGTTTCTCAGTAATACACTACTCAGTTTGAGGTACATTGTGAGATGTTGCAACTGTAATTCCTCAGCATCAGCATTAAAGGGTTAGTTCACCCAAAAATGAAAATTCTGTCAGTAATTACTCACCCTCATGTTGTTCTAACCCCGTAAGACTTTCGTTCATCTTCGGAACACAAATTAAGATATTTTTGATTAAATCTGAGAGCTGGATCACTCCTCCATAGGCTTCTATGGGATTGAAACTTGCCGGGCCAGAAGCGCTGCGCAGTTACACTATGTGAACTAACTAGAGGCCCACAGAGAAGGAAATGAATAGTTGAATAAAGTTGTTATTTATTTATTTTTTTGCGCACAAAAAGTATTCTCGTCACTTGATAAACTTAAGGTTGAGCCACTGTAGTCACTCTGACTATTTTAACGATGTCTTTAATAACTTTTCTGGCCCAGCAAGTTTCAATCCCATAGAAGCCTATGGAGGAGTGATCCAGCTCTCAGATTTAATAAAAAATATCTTAATTTGTGTTCCGAAGATGAACGAAAGTCTTACGGGGTTAGAACAACATGAGGGAGAGTAATTACTGACAGAATTTTCATTTTTGGGTGAACTATCCTTTTAACAAGTGCATGTCCATCAACAAACCGATTATTTTACTTGTACTTTATTTACAGAGTATTTTTCTAATTTATTGCGATGAACACATGGAAACTGTATCAATAACAGTGGATACATTAGCCGAGCTCTAGCGTGAATGACTGATGTAACATAAAACAAACCTTGCTCCATGCTTAATATTTCCTCAAAGTAGTGAGAACAACAGACAATCTGCATTAATAGACACAGTTTTAGGTAAGTAAGACAGTAAGACCAGTTAGCAGGAGACCTACACAATATAAAACTCAAAACTAAGTATTTGAACACCATCTTTCAAGAGCAAGAGGTTCTCGAATCCTGCATTGAACTCAGAGATTTGAGAAGCAGTCGTCAGTAAAATAAATGGAACACAGCAAAAGTTTAGGATTATACTGCTGTGGTATCATGGTAAAGATTAATTTTAACCACTGATTCTTCACATGCTCGTCCTTGAGCGGTGAAAAAAAAAACTGGCTTAACGGTCACATTGTAAAGCACAGCTTCTTCTCGACATGATGCTGTCCAGCATCCACAGGAATCAGCTGCAGTGTTTGAGGTTCAAGTCTTCCCTGGTGTCTGCGCGCAATAAGTGGGCGGGCAATATGCTAATGTTTCATCTTGACGTCACAATGAAACGGCTTATGACTCGTTTGAAAAACGATTCATTTCATTGACTCAGAGTCGACTCTTATGTTTGAAAGACAATAACTTTATATACGGTGCACTTTCAGATTTAAAACTTTGCAGGATGTTTTCATTCACTTAGAGCTGTGTTACACACTACATGAAAGGTAATTTTCAAAAACCCATAATAGGGGCACTTTAATTTTCCTTGCTTTTATTTTGTGATTATTTTAATTCCTTACTGTGTAAAGCACTTTGAATTGCCAGTGTATGAAATGTGCTATATAAATAAAACTGCCTTGCCTAATGTTGCATCACAATGTATAAAATGGATGTAATTGATTGTGACAGTGAATAAAGAATATGCTGATGTACATGGACTCAAGTCACTTTTTTGGGAATTTTTAAATTCAATAGCATTCATGTAAAATATAAATTAAAGTAAATTTACTTTTTCATTCTGTAAAAATAAAGTGCAGTAATGGCAATATACTGTAAAATGAAAATGTGGTAAGGGCATCTTACTGTAAAATGAAATTACAGTAAGGGCATCATACTGTAAAATTAAATCACGGTAAGGGCATCTTACTGTAAAATTAAATTGCAGTAAGGGCATCTTACTGTAAAATTAAATCGCGGTAAGGGCATCTTACTGTAAAATGAAATTACAGTAAAGGCATCATACCGTAAAACACTTTTACAGGTAAGCTACTGTAAAGGGGAACTTACAGTAACTTACTGGCAATAGTGCTGCCAGTAAGTTACCGCAAAAATACAATAAAATGTCTAACAGTGTATATAGGTGCTACCGAAGTGGAGATTTCGGACTTTGAGTATGAGAGAAAAGTAATTTTGAGAAAACGGGCTTTAAAGATTTAGCATCAGCCAATAGCCGCGTTTCCACTGTCGGGCCAGTGCTAGGCCAGGGCTTTAAACGGGCCGTGCCAGGCTAATAGCCTCGGGCCAGTAGCACCTGGCCTGCGTTTCCACTGTCGGGCCAGAAACTCCACAGCGCGTCACTAAAACACGCCCGCAACACGCCTCTCTGGAACAACGTCACACTAACCCATCATTTCACCAACAAATGGAAGTTTTATCAGAAAACTAATCAGAAAGAAATCACTGGAAACAGCGTGCATCGCAAAACAAACATGATAAAAGCGGCCGTTTGCTGGCATTTTTGTTGTTTACTTGAATATTTAAAACCCAAGCATCGATGTTTTACCACAGGTTTACAATAAAAAGTGATACATTGATCATAATGAATTAATTTATGTCAAAATTGCACATTAGTCACACAGAAATAAATGACCGTTAACGTTAGGTCTATTTCACAAAAGAAAGAGGACACACTTACATTATTCAGTCGAGGCTGTTTCTGTTTATTGGTAGTTACAGGACATATATCACATTTAGAAACAATGATAATTTCTACAAATAATGTTATATGCCACCAAAAATACGACCTGAGGAGCGTTAGCACAGTCTCGACTCCCAGTAGCTACAGATATATTTTCAGTCAGAGAAACAGGAAGCCCCCGAAAAAAAGTAGAGTCCGGTATAAAGAGACTACTATGTAGTATATGTAGGCTACTGACAGATAAAATAAAAACATGATTGTGATAGCCTTTATGATTGGTCTGACTTCTTCAAGCGTTCACCATGTTTTTTTACTATGCGTATCTTCAAGCGTTTACTATGTTTACTATGGTAATGGTTAGCGCGCATAGTCTTTTGCATCGCGTATTTATATTTCTACCTTATACGGTGATCAGAATCCACATCGGATCACAAACAGAAGGCATTAAAACATGAAAGTGAGTTAAATTATTTTAAAAGTCTTTAATGCTGACAGAATCATTCGGCGCTCCTGTCTCTCGACTCAGGTAATCCCCGCCTCTGTTCGTAACCACTCCTCTAGCCCGAGCTGGCCCGCTTTGGCCCAAGGTATTCGACGGGCCAGAAATCCTGGCCGTTGGCCCCGAGTAAGCCCCGTAAGTGACAGTGGAAACGCGACTGACCCTGGCACGCACTAGCACGGCCCGGCCCTGGCCCGTCAGTGGAAACGCGGCTATTGAGATTGCGCATTTGCGCCCTTTTACTTTCACGATTGGTTGCTGATAAAAAGGAAATTACCATATTTGGATCCGACAACATTGTACAAGAGAGAGAGAGCTTTCTAACGGTGTGTGTGATGACAGGGTGCAGATCGTGATCGCGGAGCAACGGATGATTTACAACGCCAACTTTTGATGAATTTATGAGAAATCTACAGACGCAAACAGACAAAGTGTAGTAAAATAAAGACCTAAATGTGTATTTCGGACTTTTTTTCACCACAAGTCTGAAAGAAGACATGTTTTTGAAGACAAATATCCCGAAATCTCAAAATTGACCAGTGAAAAAAAAACTATTGTTTTTGCCTGCCGTGTCTCGCCTTAACTAATATTTCCAATGCACACTGCACATACACAAGTATGTACTGGTCATTGCATATGTAATTTAATGTATAAATAAATCCTGAATGTTTAGACTTGTTTAATGTGCTGCTCCATAGCATAAATTAAACAAAATCTCTTGCATATTTTACATACCTGGCTGATGGGGTCACATAAGCTCCCACCCACCATGCTGTCCTTCATAAAACACCCCCATCATAAAACATGCTCCTGTGGGTATACATTTTACCTTATGTTTTGTGTTTTCTAAGAATAGCTCTATAATACATTTCTAAACTGTGTTAGACATGTCCCAAGTAAAGAATAGTCTCGGCGTCGTCTTTTGTTTAACCAGAAGACACAGATTTGTTATTATATGTGCGGCTGTTAAAGATCTGCTGCGTCTAAATGAGAGAGAATGCTGTATTAGGCGGATGGGACAGACACTTTCACACAAAGACACACACACAAAAGTAAGCACAGTCTGGCAAAGGGAGACACCGTCAGATCATCCTTCCTTTCAGTGTTTAAAAATACACCCACATTAACTTTATTCTGAACAGTTAGCTCTGCTCTGGCACGTACTCATGGCAAAGCGTGTCTCGATCAGAGAAGGAATGTTTTATGCATTTGCTGGAGAAAAAAACGATTTCTCCTGTATAAATATGTCAGCATTGTTAAAGACAATATGATTATTAATGTTTTATGTGTGAATGTGTATACATATTGTCAAGATTTACATATTTACCATCTAACTGTTATGTTTTGGAGCAGATCACCATTGGAATCCACACAGGAGAGGTGGTCACAGGGGTGATCGGGCAACGAATGCCCCGTTACTGCTTGTTTGGAAACACGGTCAACCTGACAAGTCGTACAGAGACCACAGGAGAGAAAGGAAGGATAAATGTGTCTGAATACACATACAGGTGAGAGATGTCAAATCTGAATGGCAAAAATCTGTTTGTATTTTTATGAAATTGGCAGTGTACAATTAATATACACGTTGTAAAAATGGTAATGTGTAATGTTAAAGAGCAGTTCCTACCTGATTTAACTAATTAAAATTAATTTTGTTGTTATCAGTTAATTTAGGATTATTCAGTGGGTATTTTTTTTTTTTACTTGAATAAGATATCGCTCTTTATCAGCAGAATCACAGCCGTGCCGATATAGAGCCAAATCGAACGTCTACGAGTGTGATATTGCATTTATACAACACAACACAGGTATAAATAAAAGCTTATTGAAGCTTATTGTATTATGTATAGTAAAGTAGAGTATTATGAGAGAGAGAGATCGACTAAGCGAGTGCTTTACCTGCATCTAGCTGATATTCTTCAGGTCAAACTTATATTAATTTCGGTAACGCTTCCTTTTACAGTCCTGTTACCCATGTACTTACTATATACTTTTTATAGTAATTATAATTACTGGGTAATAACTAGGTACTAACCCTGAACCTACCCCTAAACCTACCCCTAACCCATGTACTTACCTTATATTAGCTAGTACTTTCTAGGTAAGTACACTGTAAGTACACGTAAGTACTGTACTGTAAAAGGAAGCGTTACCTTAATTTCATTTGAATTCATTTTTTGATATTCATTATTACAAAATCAGTTTGAATGTCCGCTGAAGAAAGTGATATCTTTGTCTTTGCCCAGTTAAGGGGATTTCCCATGAGTCAATGCATTTATAAGGGTGTCTTCACATAGTTCATTTTAAAAGAACCAAACCCAGTTCACTTAAAGTGAACCAGAAAGGAACCCAGCCGAAAGTGACCTCAGTCCTTTTGTTGTTTACAATATGCTGGACTCAAAAGAGAACCAGGTTCTTTTTTTGGTCCTCTTCAGCATTGAAGTGATCTCAGACCCTTTCTTGTTCTCGGATCCCAGCTTTCTGTGCATTTTGCATTTCTACACTTCCACCTTCGACAACATCTGTAAGACAAGCACAAGTGCTTGCACCCAAAATTTCAATCCAGGTGGTCGTAGACAGGAATCCTTTATTTCAGCGGGATCCCCACTTCGACACATTTTTTCACTGGTGCTCATGTACTTCTGTAATTTTTTTTTGTTTTGTTACTTTTACACGGCATTGTAGCGCTGTTTTGTTATAGCCTCTTTTAGGGGTGGTGCGATGTGGCAAAAATATAATTTTTTTCAGGAAAATCGCGATTCATAATTTCATCACGATTCTTTTCATGTGTTTAATATTTTGCAAGTGACTGACCAGTAAGCTACAGCCAAACTCATTTCCCTATTTTAAAAACGCAGCCTTACAGAGATAACAAAATACAGTGTAGTAAAATATAACAGAAAAAAGAAAGACAGACCATGTAGGCCATGGTGGGCGAAGATAAAAATCTTTAATTTCATTATTTTATCTTTGTTATTAAAAATAAGAATAAAGATGCACATTACAAATACACAACATAACATACAAATGAAATAACCAGTGCTTTATTTTTTCAGCCACAGTAGGTGGATATAACACCACCATTTAAATACAAAATTGAATAAACAAATGTAAAAAACAACAAAAAAAACACTACATAGACTTCACTGTATAAATTATAGATTGATTCATATTTAAGCTACTGAAGCTCTTCAGTGAAGAGCAGTGAGTGATTTTTTCTTTTCTTGTTTTATTAACACTAAGGACTAGCGGCAGGCAGCATGTTTATTATTTGGTTGCTGTTTCTTTAAGAGCTCATGCTGCACGGATAGACAAGCATCCGATTTTCTCCCAACTGTCTACTTTCACTTTAGACATAACACATAACCGACTGTGTTTATGTAAACTTTGTGCGTATTTGCCAATAAGACACGGAAGATAACTTGATTCAGTACTCACGCGCTTCGGGTGTTCACGCTCAGAACAGCACGCGAATGAAATGTTATGCAATGTTATATTATGCATTTACACATGCAAATTATCATCTTTCATGACTGTGCAGTGTCACAAGAGCGTAACTCTACGTTAACATGTGATGTGAATGTATGTCACGTTGTACAGTATGTTGGGACGGAGACACTAGAACTGCAAAAGATAGAATGCACTGTAGCACGAAACGAAACGCAAAGTGGACCAGGAGCTCATCGCTTTCACATATCACAAAGAAATCGGACCACAAACGAGGGTCCTTTTAGGGGGTCAGAGATCACTTGGTTTGTTCACCTATATACACGTATATAGTATATATTCTACATTCTCACCTAAAAAAATCTTAAAGGGATAGTTCACCCTAAAATGAGAATTCTGTCATTATTTACTCACCCTCATAACGTTCCAAACCCATAAGACCTTGATTTATTTTCGGGAACACAAATGAAGAGATTTTTGATGAAATCTGAGAGCTTTCTGACCCCTGCAATGTAATCACCACTTTCAAGGCCCAGAAAGGTAGTAAAGATATCCTTAAAATAGTCCATGTGACTTCAGTGGTTCAACCTTAATGTTATTGTCACAGTATACTGAGGAACGAAGACACAGAAATAGATTGACAATGTAGATTAGACACGTAGTGCAACTCCACGATACGAGAAGGCTCGAGGTCACTTCAGGAATACTGGATATATGCGAACCAGAACAGTCTTGAGCAAGCTTGATCACGAATAGACTTGGAATCTTCCCTGGATCCGTGAGGTAGCGAATAGAAGATCAGAGGATTCACAGATGAGAAGACCAGGGTGCTCAAGGGAAACCACCACACTGAAGCTGCTTAGGAGACACAGATAGGTCGTAAGTATAATACCGAAAACACTTGCGATAGGGCAATTCTAGGACCAGACAATGAAGGTTTGGAACGAGAGAGCCACAGGCATCAAATAGACGAGACCGGACGCCGGGTGTAGAATGACTGAGGCTTATAAGCAGCGTGCATCAGAGGTGAGTGGTGATGACATGCAGGTGGAAAGGATTAGAACTCCGGAGATGATGAGCGGGACCAGATGCGCTGAGTTGAGACTGATTGGGGTGTGTCGTTGTTGATTGAATCCATGACAGTTATGAAGCGACAAGAATACTTTTTGTGCACTATTTTAACGATGTCTTTACTATCTTTCTGGACATTGAAAGTGGCGATTACGTTGCAGTTTATGGGAGGGTCAGAAAGCTCTCAGATTTCATAAAAAAATATCTTAATTTGTGTTCCGAAGGTAAACTAAGGTCTTACAGGTTTGGAACGACATGAAGATAAGAAATGAATGACATAATTTAAAATAAAATAAATGGTGAACTAACTCTTTAAAACTACATTCTCTGACACAACAACAGTAGTACTTGTAAAATGATGGTATTTGATGGTATGAGAAATGCTGCAAGCGCGTGATACAATACAAACGGTGAAACGGTTCCTGTGGTGATAATGGTAGAATATCGCATGGCTGTAAAAGGCTCTCAGCCAATCAGAATCGAGAACAAGAACTAATTGTATAATATATAATAATGTCATATAATATCATATATAATATAATATAATATCATATACAATATAATTGAATACAATTAATACAATATAACAATTAATATACATGAATAAAGTGAATGTTGTAATTTATTGTTTTGTCTCAGGTGTTTGCAGTCAGTGGAAAATGCTGATCCTCAGTTTCATTTGGAGTACAGAGGACCTGTATCCATGAAAGGAAAAAAAGAGCCAATGAAAGTGTGGTTTCTCTCACGCAAGACCTAACAGACACACTGTGGGGCTGCAGCGATGCAATTTTTATTGTGTTCTCTGCTAATGTGTGTTCATTCATTTCTAAGATCTATGAAAAGGAACATACTGTACTTTGCTTTCTTCATCAAGATCATGTTATTCTCCCCCTCTCAGGGAGAAAGGCCAAATTAAGAATGTTCTTCAGTGACCCCTGCGTTTCAAGTGCCAATTATCTCTAATTCACAGAAAATGAAAAAAAAAAAAAAATCGGGGGGAAAGGGTATTATAGAGTAGAGGGTGACCAGCTGTACACATTTTACATAGAAATATGGAAACTACTGTCCATTTGATATTAATTAATGATACTACTTTGAGTGCCAACAATTGAATTGATTTAATACAGATTAATTAAATATACATCTGAATAAATACAACTGGAAAATGGAAAAAATACGCTATGCAACATGCAGACGTGCTCATCAAGTGTTTGTTTTCATCATTTTTATTTATAGGATGTGACAGTATTTAGATCACTACCAAGTCCAGGAATATTTTGTTATTTCATCACTGAGTAAAATAAGTTATTTTCTTTTGTCACTGTATTGAGTCCTGTATGTCTGTGTGATGATATTTAAAGTTAAGAGCACTTCAACATAGAAATATCTAAAACAAACTGTTTAAATTGTGCACTTTAATTAAGTACTAACTTGTAGATTTTCAGGATCAAAGCACATTTTGTTACTGTATCAATGTATTATATTGGAAATACTCAGTTTAACCATAATTCAATTCACAAGTCTGAATTTAGTTTTCTGTTTCTGAGGATAATGTGCATGCTGTAAATAATAAAAATGCCTGCACAGAATCATAATTACACTCGTACATTGCATCAGAGAATTTACCAAACATGTACATATAAAGCCGTTTTATGAATACAATTTAGAATACGCTACTGTTATATTGTTTTATTATGTGTTATTGCGTGAATGAATATATTCTTAACACATTTCAAAGTGAATATTTAGTGTTTAAAAATTGGATAGACTTTGAGAGTTTGTATTCATTGAATCTCACATATAGATTTATTTAAAGGAAACCTGCCCATGTCACAATGCTTTTATGTGCACCTCTACATATTTAAGTCTTGTATTAAAATATTGTTTAAAAGATTTGCTATTTGTTGTCTAATTTGTTTGTTTGTGTTGCATTGCTGCTAAGGTTTGTTTTCTGTTACAAAATTAAAAATTATTTATAAAGTTGTCCATTCTAATGCCCATAAACAATCATATATCTGTCTGGCTGCTTGGAAATCAAATAAAAATAAACAGTCAAATCTAAAATCTTACACTGTTGTTTTTTATAAAATCAGACAGACCCTCAGACTCTTTATACAGTTTCTTTATAAGTGGTGTTGTGTGAATAGAAACATCAACAAAAATATAAATGTCAGGAGTGTACAGATTAAATTATTCATATTATAAAGGCATTCATTTCATAAAAAAAAAAAAAGAAGCTTACTATGGATCATAATGTTGACTGCACAAACCTAAGCAAAACCTCTACTACTATATGAGCAGACTAATGTATTATCATCACCAGATGACAATGTTACCTTCAGGCAGCTAAAGCAATAGGCCTACTGTCACTTTGCCAAATTAGTCTCAGCTCAGTCTGTTAATATTAATGTAACTGTCTCCTTCTTGTGGTACAAACATGTAACTACTTTAAAAAAGAATGATTAGCTCTGAGTGAAAACTAATACAAAATACCAATTTAGCAAATTCTACTTCACCTTGAAATCTTCCTGATGGACTATGACCCTTATATTTTCAATAATTCCACTTCCATATATCAACTTTCATTTGTAGATTAGAGATTGTCTAGTTAATCATTATCTTCTCGAAATAAACTATGCCAGCAGTTACTCCTCTAGTAAAATGCATCAACATGCCAAGTGCAGTGAGACAACTGATTATGTCATAAAAAAGATTAAACCATCATAGAAACAGATTGTTTTGATTTGTGTCTGAACTCAGATTCAGTGAGAGGATTGTTGATACCCTAGTGATAGAGTGCAAATGCAAATTGCTAAATTATTTGATTACAGCAATCAAGCATGACTTTACAATCCTGATTAATAAACAACCTATTGTGTTTTATAGAAGAGTAATTGAGCAGGGAAAATGCAGATTAACAACCTAGAGTATATGAACCACAGAGGCTTCAATGGAGCATATGGTTTGTAAAGCCACATATTATACTGAAAAAAAGTGCATTTAAACTACCATTTAAAAGCTTGTTGTTAATAAGAGTTTTCTTTTTGTTTAAAGAAATTAATTTTTAACTTATTAATTAACTTATATTTAACAAGGATGCATTAAATTGATCAAGAGTGTATTTTAAATAAATACTGTTTTCAGCAAAGATTTCTGAATGATCACAATAAAAATAAACTGTACTGATATCTCACAATATTACTGTTTTTACTGTATTTTTGAAATGGAGCCTTGTAAAGCATAAGAGACTTCTGATTAAATAAGTCATATTTATTTTAACAAAATAAGATCACTATTTTTCAGATTCTGCAAGGTGTATGTAAACTTATAACCATAACTATATGGTTTTATTAGTCCTGTATGTTCACTTGAAGCCTCTATGGTTCAACATTATGGTTTAAGTTGCAGTAAAAGGTGCAGTTATGAAATTTTTGAACATCATTAATATCATGAAATATTTTTGAGTTTAGATCTTTTCTTGTGTTTGCTTTCAATAGGACGATACCAAAGGTCATGAAAAAGGACTATACAAAAGGTCTTCAAAGGTCTTATTTTATTGCACTGTTGAGAGATAAAGACTGAGGGAATGATAAAATAAACCATTACCAGAGATTATCATGTCTCAGGTCTTGATATCTCTTAATCTTGTCATTTAGTCTCCAGATAAAACTTCCACCCTACATGTTGCGTTAATTTTATATTTGGACAGGCCATGTACACTTTTTGGTTTACATTTTCATTATAAGTGAATATGCCACAGCTTTTCTCACAGTGGCTTTTTCCTTAGTATTTAAGACATTGTAAGCAATAACAGTGAAAAACTCTCAATGAACTGTTGAGTCATGTCATACATACTGTAGCTGCAAAATAATACATCGATAACCCCATTAGAATAGTTTCGCCTTTCACAGTTCTCAATTTAAAAGATGCAACAGATTCAGACAAAATTCATTGCTTAATGCACCACTCAGAGTTCCACAGAAGTTCTTGCCACATAAACCACAACTAGTGTAACAGACACTACAGTTTAAACAGCAAACAATTCAAACAAAAGGAGGACTTTGTGTGAGAACAACAGAGACACTAATGCCAGGTGAATATTTGACCATCAAATACAAGTGAGTACTTGTTCTCATGGAATGACTTGAAGCCTCCACTCTTTTTGCACAATCAATGATGAAGCAAGGCATGCTGTGATGTGTAATGTATAGCCTGGAGGGAGGGTGAATTTTATACTCTGTGAGCTTTACTCGGCCACATCAGCATGAAGATAATACTCAGATAAGACAGCGTGCCTTCACTCGCACAGGTATAAAAGACAGGCACGGGGTAAAGTTAGGCCACCGTCAGGATCACAGCAGTCTGTCATCATGGCCTTCAATGGGACCTGGAAAGTTGACCGCAATGAGAACTACGAGAAGTTCATGGAAGAAATGGGTGAGTGGACAGACAAATTAAGCATCGCCTGAATATTGTTGGTTTCAAGATCAAATGCTGAAATATTCTTTCTAAAGATGTTGAGTGATTCAGCGAGTCATTATTTATAAGGTGTTTGTGCATGTGTACTGCATATCTTCAACAGGCATCAACATGGTGAAAAGGAAACTAGCTTCTCATGACAACCTGAAGATCACCGTGGAGCAGACCGGAGATAAGTTCAATTTGAAGGAAGTCAGCACTTTCCGCACAGTGGAAATTGACTTTACTCTGGGTGTCACTTTTAACTATTCCATGGCAGACGGCACTGAGCTCACAGTAAGTACAACGATTTCAAATTTCAGAGGCATTTTCAGTCTTTACAACCTTAAAAATAAAGGCTCTGTATTGGCATCTATGGTTCCATTAAGAACCTTTAACCCATAGCGAACCCAAGGGCAAAGGTTCAGAGAAAAATACGTAACTTTCATAACACCCTCTATTCAAGCCTCCTGAACAAACCATCACTAACAGGTCAACGAGGCATTGTCACACTGCTGAGTTCAAAATGAGTCTGACTTTTTGACATTCTGATTGCAGGGATCCTGGGTCATGGAGGGTGACACGCTCAAAGGGACTTTCACACGCAAGGACAATGGAAAGATGCTAATAACAACCAGGAAGATTATCGGTGATGAACTTGTACAGGTGAGCTGTTGTTCCTTATGGATTATGACAAATCCTCAAATAAAAATTTGGATTAAATGCTTTAAACTTGTGTTCTCACTTTTTGATTTTTTGTTCCTTGCAGTGTTATTGCTATGAAGGTGTCGAGGCCAAGAGGATTTTCAAGAGGGGTTAAAATGCCATTAGCATTCCAACATTTAGTTGGACGATATGAAACCAAGTGTTGTAAGCATTCAACCTAATAAGGGTTTTAACAAAATTGGCAGCCCTAAAGTTTACAAAGCATGTATGTAAATCATGTGTCATTTGCACTATGAGTTTTGATATTTATGGTAATAAAGCCCTTATTACGTCCTTGTGTGAACAGTTTTAATTATATGCTGCATGTGTTGTGACTCGTGTTGAATAAAATTATTTCTAATAGAAATACATTGTGATACATTGTTTTAAAAAGGAAAACATTTAGATAATAATCATACAAAGATGCAAATAAATTGTATCAGTGATTGAACATTTGAAGTTTATTAAACAAAAAATAAAAATAACTGCATAATCTCCAAAAATATATAGGGGATATAATTTTACATTATTCATTTATTTTGAATTATGTCAATATTTTGCATGAAAAAAAAAAAGGCACTCCACAAACAACCTCTAGGGAGTATGTACAAAGGTCCATTTGCAATGAAATTAAAGTCAAAGACACAATCGCTATCTCTGTCTTTAAGACTTATTTTATACACATATACCGTTCAAAAGTTGTAGATTGGTACGATTTTTAAATGTTTTTAACAAGTTTCTTCTGCTCACCAAGGCTGGATTTATTTGATCCAAAAATACAGCAAAAAAAGTAATATTGTGAAATATGTTTACAATTTAAAATAATAGTTTTCTATTTGAATATATTTTAAAATGTAATTTATCCCTGTGATGGCAAAGCTGAATTTTCAGCATCATTACTCTAGTCTTCAGTGTCTCATGATCTTTCAGAAATCATTCTAATATGCTTATTTGCTGCTCAAGAAATTATTATTCTCAATGTTGAAAATGTTTTTTCAGGATTATTTTATGAATATAAAGTTGACAAGAACAGCATTTATCTGAAATAGAAAATTTGTAACATTATAAATGTCTTTACCGTCACTTTTCTGATCAATTTAATGCATCTTTGCTGAATAAAAAGTAATGTTTTTACATTTCTTTTAGAAAAAAAAAAATCTTACTGAGTCTGACCCCAAACTTTGTTGAATGGTGTATAATGTCACAAAAGTTTCTCACTCACTGGAGTTATGATGCCGGAAATTAAGCTTTAACATCACAGGAATAAATTGCATTTTAAAATATATTCAAATAGAAATTAGTAATTTTAAATTGTAAAAGTATTTCAAAATATTACTGATTTTGCTATATTTTGGATCAAATAAATGCAGCCTTGGTGAGCAGAAGAGATTTCTTTTAACATTTTTTTTTTTTTTTTTTTAAATCTTACCGATCTAAAACTTTTGAATGGTAGTACTGTATTATCGGTCACAATTCAGTAAAAGATAATCAATAAATTTGATATTCAGCATAAAATGGTCATTCCTGTTCACAAGCAAATACTGATTTAAGCCAAAGTGCATACTGCCCTCTTGTGGATGGCTGTTGTGGATATCATAAGATACTCGAACTTCACAATTTACAGGAAGAGTGTACAAAAGGACAAATCTCTCCTACGCTTCCTTCAGTTTCAAATACGTTTTAATTACAAGTACAAAAACAATCCATATGTTTAACTTCTTTGGCAATTCTCTTGCATTACTTCTCACTGGGTCACCAGGACCTAATAACAAAGAAGATTTATTATTATTGCATTGTTTTTAAATACATAAAGTACTAGTCAAATATCTGGAAACATCAATTCATTCTCTTTTATTATTGTAGTTTTATAATTACTTAATATTGCAACTAGACTATTCAGTGTTAGTAATGGTAATAGTCAATCAATGGCTGAATAGGCAATAGAACATTCTTTTTTTTTTGGTATTATTAATAAAGTATTATAGTATTTATTCATATTTTTAATTAGCTTTTAAATTTTCAGTTTCCATTTAAATTTTTGTTCAAATATTTACAATTATATTTTTTGTTTTTATTTATTTATTTCCCTTTTAGTCATTTTAGTACTTACAATTATTTTATTTCATTTATTTGTTTAGGTAACATTTTAAGTTTTTTTTACCTAATGCATAATAATTTCATTTCATTATGAACAAACTATGGTAACAAATTAATCTGCCAGTATCTTTAACCTTTAAGATTAAAGGTGATCTTTTTAACCTTTATGAGTATTTAAAACTTTTTTTCTTTTGAGGTCACAAAACTGACACATTAAGTAATCCGAATTGTTTAATTGTTTTTAGTTTTATGAACTTGTTTCTTTTAATTTAGAAACTTAAATTTAACTGAAACTGGGCTGAAATTCCTATTTCCTATGGCATGATTTGCCATGACATTCAAAAGGGAGAGTAAATGGTAAAATTAAGTGTTATATCATTTTTTTGTGTGTGCAAGATTAATGTTAAGTGCAGATTTAGTAGGGTTTAATGTTTTGCTATGCTAATATAGAAGAGTTTGTTATGTGGGGTTCTTTGGGGGGTTTACCATCATGGTGACAAGTGGAGCATGAGCTTGGTTTGAGAATAGGTATGTTAAATGTTATATTTTGCTGTACTCATTCAGCAATTGCTAAGCTATACTAATGATATAAAAGTATTGTGTTACCATTAAACAAGTTAGCATTTACTGAATTAGCTATTTACAGCTAGCCATGTTTCCACTACTACAAATATTTAAGATTGCGATTACATGATACTTTTAAGTTAAATGTATGAATTAGCATACTCAAATATTTCAAGTTAAGAGCAATTCAAATGTATGAGTACAAAATAAAAATGCAGTAAAGTAGAGAATAATTATTTAGAACAGCCATTATGATTAAATAAATCATTTACTTTATAAAGAAGCATTTGTCAGCATCAGTTATATCATGAATTAGAACTGAACAGTTGTTTATAAATATGTTATTGGTCATTGTTCATTCATGATAGATTAATGTTATTTTTTGTATTGCACGTTGTTAGTTTGTTTTATCTATTGCATTCACTAATAAACAATTATCTTATGGTTCAACTTTAGTAGTTTATTGTTAAGTCTTAAGAGTTAATAAGTACATTTCTTAATAATATTGCACATTTTTGTAGCATTGTACTTAAAGTTTAAAACAATATCTGAAGGTTTGGCGAGAACTTACCATAACTTTCACAAATATCCATGTTCATCTAGCCCTTTTGAAGTGACAGGGTGCCATTTAGCAGTGGGCTTATTGATGCTATTGCCTGAAAAGGACAACTTAGTTTATTTAAGCTAGTAACTACAGTTAGTAAGTAACTAAGTACATGCACTACCATTCAAAGGTTTGGGGTCAGTAAGATTATTATTAATTTTTTTTTAAGAAACACTTTTATTCAGCAAGGATACTTTAAATTGCTCAACAGTAACAGTAAAGACATTCATAATGTTACAAAAGATTGCATCACGGTTTTCCACAAATATTAAGCAGCACAACTGTTTTTAACCTCGATATTAATAATAAATGTTACTTGAGCACCAAATCAGCATATTAGAGTAATTTCTGAAGGATCATGTGACACTGAAGACTGGAGTAATGATGCTGAAAAATCAGCTTTGAATTTTGCATTACAGGAATAAATGTAAATTTAATTCAATTTAAAAGATAAATAAATAACAGAAAACAGTTATTTGAAACCGAAATAATTTTTCACAATTTTACTGTGTATACTGTTTTTTGGTCAAATAAATTAGCCATGACAAGCAAAAACATAAAAAATCTTATCAACCCCAAACCGGTTTAACAAACTTGTTAAATATAGCAATATATCAATGAATGAATGAACAGCTCAGCTGAGCTCTAACATACCGGAGTCAGACTTATTTTTGGCACGTTCAGATTGGTTCTCTATGCGGCTTGACTGTCCCGTGTCTCTCCCGTCCTTAACAGCTCCTCTCGGCTCAGGCATGGAAAGGAGCAACGGCCTCTGGTGGTGATACTTTAGTCTGTAGTTGTCTGTCATACAATTATCCACAGAGAAATAAGTGGTCAGTGCTACTCCAGATCCTGGAGACACTGAGGCAGATGGCTTATCCCATCCACAAGATCTTTCCTCAGGCTGGCTGGACACCTGCTCCCCTCTTTCCTGGTCAGAACACGATTTTGAGCTCAGATCTGATGAGCTTGGGCATGTGCCATTGATTTCCATTCTCTTGTGTACTGCGGTGGTGTGCAACGATGAAACGCCACGGTCGGATGCTCTGGAAGCTGTCTGTGATGGCTCCTGTAAAATTCTGGGACGGAAGGGTGGAGTCTTTATCTCAATCGGTCGCTGTGCGTGTTTGGAATGAGTTGGCATTGATGGAGCTATTGCTGACTCTTCCCTCGGCTGCAAAGGGTAAATGGTGCGATTAGGACCCGGTGATTCGTGTGGAGCAACTTCACTGGTGCTAGAACGATAAGCACTGTCTTCCTGCTCTGAAAGAGGGTTAGTGAGTTCATCAGAACTGTTACACTCTGAACTGCTGATCTTGCCCAGGCGGCGTAGAAGGGGGCTTTCTGGGCTGTGGTGCCATCGCATGGAAACTTCCTGTTGCTCTGCTTGAAGGTCGCCGGCCGATGGGTCTTTCTCTGCGTAGCCCCCTTTCCTGGCACCACAGGATGAGTATCTAAGCTTCCTTCTGTGAAACATGAACACTCTTATTTAGATGTCACCTTATTATATCATATTTACATAATACAGTATGTTAAGAAAATATCTGAAATGTCTCATTTAAACTAACAAAATGAACAAACAATAACAAAAAAACACAGAAATGGACTGTTACACAATTGCCCTATGTACTTTGATTGTAAAGGAGTCAAAGTGTCCATGATTAAGAGGCGGATGAGTCTTGTGAAAATCTAGTTTAAAACAAACGTGCCAATTTTTTGTAAATGTACTGTTTATAGATGTTGATTTTATGTGGTTTCGAAAAATTTAAAACATGTTTGAGAAGTTTGCATTTAATGACTCAAATATCACAAATGTCATGTGGTATAACTTGTGTGAGTAATTACAGTACATTATTTTAATGAGGCTTTTTTCTTCATTAGTATATCAACACATTTACATCACCCTCACATTTTTATTTTATGGCCTTTAAAAAATGCATTTTAATTAATAAATTAAAAACATAAGAATGTATTCAAGTCATAGTACAAATTGCATTTTAATGCATTTCTTTAAAAAAGGTTAAAACAA